ATTTCCTCTGCTTTCTTATACTTTCTAGATTCAGCCTGCTTAGTTTATTTAAGCACTGGAAACATTCACTTCCCTTCTTGTTCAGAGGTGAAACTGACTGAAGATATTAGTAGTTTTACCTCCAACTTCCATGGTTAAAAACCTCACTATCAGTGTGATCTACTACAAAAAAACAGAAGAGCTTACAAAATTCAAGAAGTTGATCTACAGTAGTGGTGCCCAATCTCTCTGCCCCATGGGCCAGCTGAGTGGCATGAGGTCAGTCCACAGACTGGATGTAGCACAGGTAAGGTACATGGGTATGATGCAGCACACCAGCCCAGCCCTACGTGTTAGATCCAGCCACAGACTGATTATATGCGCTGCTGCAATACCATACACAGGGCCACATCAAAACAACCCTCTGGGCTGCTCTGAGGTCTACACACCTCACAGAAGTGGAAGGGTGGCAGCATTAATTGCTGTGGATCTGGAAACAACCCACAACTATAATTCTGTAATTATAAGATTAAGAGAAAAATACACATTACAGGTCTCTATTTGTTAATGTTTGATGATCTGCTTGGCACTGTCAGACAGAGAAATCATACCCCATTTTCCTAACTCAAAGGACTAGCTGTCCAAGTGGACATCCTGTTCATCCCTTGACAAAAGCAACTAGGAAAGTGCGCATTTGTAGCAGTGGGCCTAAATTTGTTTCTACAATCTTGTTTTAAAATATGGAATCAGTCATAGCACGGAAATGGAAGTTGGACCCAATTCCTACTAGAAAACAATTTAACAGAGAGATGAGGAAGCAGGAGGAATCTGCTTCCCTCCCACCTTTTGGAACGTTCTGCTTTTTTTAACAATAATGTAGCTAATTTGACTCCGTAAGAGTCAAATGAAGACCCTGGGACAGTATGCTGTAGTAACCATCTTTGGGACTCCCTCCTTCTCCATGAAGATTTAACTTACAGAAAGCATAAGAAAGTTCTCTCAAATGAAAGGATTCCCCCCCTCCCCGCCCCCCGTTTGATGCCTGGAAAAGAGATTTCACTTAAACTAGATTAGCAGAGCCAACTATATGCATGACTTATTTTAAAGTGTCCAACAAAGAATGCAGTAAAATCAAATCAGAGCATTACTGAAATAATAAGGATCAGCACTTTATCTTTCTGATAAGATTCTCTGAATGAAAAGAACATTGTGAAAAAAGTTTACAAGTTACCAGCAGACAGGCATCAGTCTAATGACTCTGTAATATAGAAACAAGTGCCTGTTCAAACATTGAGACAAAAGTTAAACTTAAAACTGTATTTCTTTTTAAAGAAAAAAAAAAGGGGGGGGGGAGGGGGAAGGTTGCCCCACACAATAGGGAATTCCCTGAATTTTAGTTTAAGATTATTATTTCTTACACAACTTATCTTTTTGTCATCCAGAAAAATATAAAAAACAAGTGGAAATGTGAACTGAAAAAGCACAAAATACAATGGACCCTTTCATCCATGTTCCACTTTTGAAAGGCAAGAATTTGTAGCAAAGAGGGAAGTATCTGCGTGTAGGCACACATGTTGTGCTCCTCAGTAAAAAGGGTCCTGGCAACACAGAGTGATGTACAGGTTACCCATGAGGAAACCTCTTCCCAATGGATACCCACACTCCACATGAAATGGATACATGTGCAAACCCCCTTTCCCTTACTAAAGCAGACACTTATGTTTATTTATTCTACATAGAAGTAAAACAGAGAAAGAGTTAATTAAAGTTAGAAAGGGAAAGAAAACCAATTTAAGATAAGGGGGGAAAAGCCACTGACTGCATATGATTTGCCTCCATTCTGCCTTGAAAGACATGCAAGCTGGTCTTTCAACCAATTCACAAAGTCAGCATCAGTTTCTAGATACTGACATGTAATCATTCTCCACATCCATATTTGACTGTTCACATATGAGAAGCTACATGCAAATAGTGAGGTACTGCAGGGATGAGTGCTATAAAACTTTTAAACAAAGGCTGCTTCATGTTGTAAAATTACTTGGTACTGAAACATGCCATGTTGTATAACCACAACTCCCATGTGACTTCCTTAAAATGTAGTAAGACCATCAAGAGAAAAGCGACACACCAACAAGTTACACTTTCCACCAACAGATTTTAGAGAATGAACAAAGCATGCTATTCCTTTAAAGTTCTGGTATATTTTAAGTTAGTTACTATCAAGTGTTACCTAGATAGAAAATAGTTCTTTTAAATGTCAGCAGTACTATGTCACTGAACACCATTTACCTAAACTTATCTGGAAAAAGTCTTTTTGTCTGTAATTTTCTAAAGTAACACCCTCTAACAAGAGCAAATACAGAAAACCACTCTGTAGTTTTAAACCCTGTGATTTTTAGTCGATCTAAGAAGGTAGGATTAATCTAGTCCAAGTCCAAAACTGAGTCAAAGTTCAGATGTCAGAAAAAGAGGAAGAACAAACACCCCAATATAATTTGCATTTGTCCTTATAAAGCAGCAAGGAATTGTCCTGATGTTAGCCAGAGACCATTTTCACAAGTGCTGCTCATATATTCATAAAATGCCTAGTCTCTTTAAAAAAAGAGACATGAATTCTATCCTGTAAGGACAAACAACAGATTTTAAAAAGCACAGTACAGCTGGGGAAACTTCCATTTTATGAATAGATTACTGGAAGCTTTTTTTAAAATCCACTTCCAAAAACATTTACAACATAAGATATTTTGTTTTGTCCTAACAGGAAATTGATTTTATTCTATTTTTAAAGTTACTTTAGTACTTGTGAGCTAGACTGGTGATCCTAGCTACAGGAGGCGCACACACAAATTCTTCATGCCATCTCAGATTTAAAAAAAACAAACAAAACAGAAACAAAAATAAAGATGTAAAATAATCTCTTGCTACCAGTCACTCTTCCAACATCTAACTTCTGCATCAGCTGGTTATTTTGGAGTGCACAGTTTTCATTAAGTGAGGTCTGTTTTCAAGTCCATTATACAATACTTACATACTGACACTAAATTAAATTAGTATCCTACCAAACATCTGGAACCACACTCTAAACTAGAACATCCACTTTCCCAACTATAGAAATTTTCTCTTGCTACTAAAAGCAAATACAACCCCATAAGTCAACTCGCATTAAAGCCAACAACATTCAAAAGCTTAAAATCACAACATACTTCATAACAGTGACAGACTTCTTAAGCATTAACACAGTGATTTTCAACCAGGGTGGTGCAGCACCCTGGGGTACCTTAAGATCCTTTTAGAGTGCCATGGGATGCCGCGCAATGTTAGCACTGTTAAGTGCACAAACATGAGTCACAAGAAAAACCCAACAATTAAAAAAAAAATTCTGACCTGTGGTCTTTCTAAGTTCTTTGCAATAGAAGAATTGCTGTATTATTTTTCTGTAGTTAAAGGAGTGAAAAACTTTGCTACCATTTTCTAAAGCAGCAGTTCCCAACCTCAGGTAGCAACCCAAATGAAGGCTATGAGGGCAATGCTGGTGGCGCCGCACATAAAAGATGAGCTGCACCCTGTGCCAGGAGCTCCCCTGCCACTTCCAGCAGCTTGTCACAGGAAAAAAAGGTTGGGACCCACTGTTCTAAAGGGTACCAAAGCCTAACAGGAGTGCCTTGAGTCTAAGTGGGTTGAGAATCACTGCACTGAGGAATCTTAACATCTGGATACCTACACAAGAGATCTGGAAAAAAAGTCAGATTTTCACACTTGCTGTTTAACTGCTAAATCTTAAGTGAGACAGTTCCCCCCTGCTCAGTGCCCCCTTACACCACACTCAATGGAGTGGGAACCTTCAAGTGTACCTTGCTTCCATACTAGTGACAAGAACAATTAAACAGCTTAAAATCAGATACGTGACTGTGATTTTGCAGTGTCATTTTTAAGCCACAGCCAATGCATAGCTACCATTAATAAAGCAGGAAAAAAAGGTCAGTTTTTTTTTAACTTAACAAACCACAAGCACAATCTCTCCCCATCCCACTATTGATTTGTTCAGTTATGTTATCCTCCCCTCACTGCCCTGGCCCTCCACTCTCCATCCCCCCACCCCACTAGCCCTGCTCCTGCTTTTCTCTCTCCTTATATCCAGCCATGTGCAGGCATCCATACACAGAATCTGATGAAATGACCTTTAGCCCACAAAAGTATGTGCGCGCGTGCACGCACACACACACACACACACACACACACACACACACACACACAGAGTACCTTTGCAAAAGTCATGGTGACTAAGTTGGGTGAACAGCACGGCATCTCTCTTCCCCCAACAGCTACCCTGCTGTTCACTCAACATAGTCACCATGACTTTGGCAAAGGTACCTTTTCCCCTTATTTGCTTTACTTTTTCCCTTTACATTTTCTTTTAATGCTGTAGGTGCTCTCTAAGCAGGCACCCTGCAAGCTGAATTGCTTTATCTGTTTCCAGGGGCAATCCAGCTGCAAGAAATCCTGCTCCTTCATACATGGGGGGAGGTGTAAAACACATGGTTTTGTATGTATATGCACATACAAATAAAGCCGTGTGTGTGCATGAATATAAAAAAACCACACCCTGCTCCTTCAAAATCATGGTTGTAATTATGGTTGGGTTTGTGTAAAATTATGTAACACACACAAAACCACAAGTCTGAAAGTGTGTGTGCATGCGTGTGTATAAACACCCCACTCCTTCAAAATCATGGTTGTGTGTGTAAAATTATATATTTTGCACACACACAACCATGATTTTGAAAGAGTGGGGGAGTTTTACACACACACACAGCCAGTCATGTGGGTACACATCTAAACACAGACATGTCAAAACAGCTGTGTGTATGTAATTTTACACACTGAGCCATGAGTTTGAAGGAGGGCATGTGTATGCACATACACAGACTCCCCTAAGCCCCGCTCTTTTGCAACCCCCGGCCCGGGGCTCCCACGGGACACCGCCCTCCTGCCCCTTCTCCCCTGGTCGGGCGGGCACTCACGAGACGTAGGCGGGGTAGGCGAAGCCAATGAGGTTGCAGAGCAGCGAGGCCCCGTAGCCGATGACCAGGTAGACGGCCAGCGCACCCGCCACGCCTGCGGGGACACGGACACAGCGTTAGTGCGCGCCCGCCTGCCCGCACCCCCCGACTCCCCACGACCCCCCGCTCCACCCGCACCAGCCGCGCTGAACGGGTACATGGCAGCGGCGTCCGGACACGTCAGCGCCCGGCGGGTGTGGTGGGGGAGGGGCGGCGCTGACCGAGGGCGAGGTAGGTGCGGCTGACGCCGGTACGGGCCTCAACGCGCTCCAGCAGGGCCGTGACGCAGTTCTTCTCATGCAGGAACCGGTCGAAACGCTGCCGCAAGCTCAGCGCCGCCATGGCCGAACCGGTGCCGCCACTGTCAGCTGCCTGCGGAACCTCAAGCTGCCCAGCCGCGGCCGTGACGTCACGGGACACGCGGCCTGGCTCCGCCCCCGCCCGGCGCGCCAATCAGCAAGGGGGGCTGCCGGCCTGTGACTTGAGCTCAGCCTCAGGGGCCTGGGCGGTGCCGCCGCTTCCCGGTGCTCCCCAGGCCTCGTAGGGCGGTGCGGCGGGCGGGGGGGTCAGTGCGCGCCGGGCGGCTCCGGCTGCCAGCAGGAAATGCGGAGAAACCAGGACCCCGCGGGGGGGCGGACAGCGGTGTCTTCTCTTGGAGCAGCTGCAGCGCCGGGGTGGAGTCAGAGCAGCATCCCCGGGCCTGGGGGCGGCTTTCCCAACCCCGCCAAAGCCGGCCTGACTCAATCAGCTGTTCTCTTGGCACCGAGCCGCACGGAGCAGCCGGGCTGGGAGGCACCTCCTCGAGGCGGATTAAGATTTATTGGGGCCCAGGGCAAGCAGAACATCGGAGGCGCCCGCACCCCGTTTTAAACACGACTGTATCAGAAAGCATTGGTAACTAGACCTGCTACATCCGCTGTTCTGCCTCTCCTCAAGATCAAAATCAGCACCCTTCAGGGGGAAGAAAATTGCTCTTTCTTTCTCCCTTCCCTGAGAAAAGAGGGGCAGCCATGCACTTAGAGGCAGGAAGGCAGGTGCTGGAGGCTTCCCTGCTGCCTCCCGCCATTCATACATCACCCCTTACCCCCAGGACCAGCTCTGCGCCTGGGAGCAGGGTGAGTAGGGCATCCCCTCCCCCCTCCACAGCAGCCAGGCCGCTGCCATGTGCTGTGCTGGGCAATGTGCAGCTACCCGCACGGCACTGTGCTGGACCATCCAACAGAGATTTTTCCCAGAGCGCCCTAATTGGTAGGGGCCCCTGGGTCTGGGCCCCACAGCCCCATGTGTTAATCTGCCCCTGCCTCTAGAGGTCATTTAGCACAGTGGTTCTCAGCCTTGTTTGTACCAAGATATATTTGTAAACATCTGTGGGTCTGGTCAGTCCTGACCCAGTGCCCCTCACTCCTAACCTACTGCCCCCCCTGCCCCCAAGCCACAGTCCCCCAGTTTGTGGGGCAAGGGTTAGCTGTGTAGGGTAGGGGTGTATGTGCGGAATATGGGGGGCCCAAGCAACCCCTTGTAGGCTGGAACTCTGCCAGCCTTCAAGGGAAAAGCCAGTTTCCCATGTTTTTCTCCTTTAAAGGAGAATCCAGTTTCAAAGTTTGTTGATCCATTTTTTAAAGTTTGTTTGCAACCCTTTCATATATTCTTACAACCCACTATTGGGTCACAACCCATCGGTTGAGAAATGCAGGTCTAGTTCAACCCCCTGCCTGAGGCAGGACTAGCCCTATCCAAACCATCCCATACAACTGTCATCTAAATGCTACATGAGACTCCCCTCAACCCTGACACCACACAGACCTAAGGCCCGACACAGGTAAAGCAGGGGAGCCCCAGCAGCCAACATCCTGCTTCTGTGAAATGCTGACAATATACATTCCTTGCCTCTCACAACGTTTCTGGGTCATCACAGCTACAGCATCAGCATCACTCTTATGCTGACTGTAAAGAGCAAGAAGGTATAATGGTTAATGTGTGCTGCCTCGTATAGTCTATGGAGAAGCACATTCTGGAGGGGTGCATGGTGGGGGTGCACTGGCACACTTACACCCTGCTTTGATTCCTGCTCCACCCAAAGTTTAACGCCACCTGCCTGGCAGTGGCATTTCTAGTCAGGCAGCACTGAGGGAGTCACTTGATTTCATGGCTCATCATAATCTACTTGCTCCCTTCTAAACTTTTCATTCATAGCTTTCATAGGCATTACGGCTGGAAGGGACCTTGCAAGATCATCGGGTCCAGTCTCCTGCCCAAGGGCAGGAAGTCAGCTAGGGTCAGATCACCCCAGCAAAATAAGCATCCAGGCGTTTCTTAAAGTTATCTAGAGTAGGTGCTTGTACCACTTCTTGGGGGAATCTGTTCCAGACTCTGGAGATTTGGACAGTAAAGAAGTTTTTCCTTATGTCCAGTCTAAACGGTCTTCCAGCAGTTTGTGACTGTTAGACCTTATCTTCCCTTGGGGTGCCCTAGTGAACAGACATTCCCCCAGTTCCTGATGCACTTCCCTTGTATACTTATAAGCTGAGCCTTTGCTTCTCCAGGCTGAAGAGTCCCATGCCCCTCAGCTTCTCCTCATAAGGCCTGTTCTCTTGACTTCTAATCGTGTGCGTGGCTCTCCTCTGGACTCTCTCAAGCTTCTCCACATCCTTTCTAAAGTGTGGAGCTCAGAATTGGATGCAGTACTCCAGCTGAGGCCTCACCAAGGCTGAGAAAAGTGGGAGGATGACTTCTTGGGTCTTGGTTGAAATGCATCGGTAGATGCAAGCCGGAGTTTTATTTGCTTTGCTAGTTGCAGCATCATGTTGGTAGCTCATGTTCATCTTGTGGTCAATCGTGACCCCCAAGTCTCTTTTGGTGGTGGTGCTATTGAGTGTAGCACTGCCAAGCCTATAAGTATGATGTGAGTTTTTTCTCCCTAGGTGGAGCATCTTGCATTTCTCCATGTTGAATGTCATCAGGTTTTTATCTGCCCACCTTGCAAGCCTGTCCAGGTCAGTCTGAATTGCCAGGCTATCCTATAAAGTGACCACACTTCCCCATAATTTTGTCCTCTGTGAACTTAGCCAGTCCACTTCTAAATGTTTTGTCTTATAGAAATGTTTTAAGTCACTGTAATCTTGTTGTAGGTCCCTGGAGGGAAAGATTTTATGGGTGCCAAACCTGCTTGGGCATTTAATAGGAAGCCTGCAGCCTCAGAGATGCAGTGTAAGAGTAGATGCAGTATACAGCTCAATCCTTTGAGCAAGAAAGTCAGATTTGTTGTCTTCTGGGTGCATCAAGAGCAAATGAAGGGCTCTCAAGCACATCTGACTAGTAATTGTGACATGTCAGGTTTGGGCGTTGTATACTTTCAGCTGTTTCTGTCCACTTTTCCTGTTCCACTGTTCACATCCTAAACTTTTCCATCTCTTTTCTTGCTTTCCTTTTCTGATTTTTTTCTTCCATTGTTTTTTATTTTCTCTCTTTAGTGACTAAATGGACAGCAGAATGGAATGAGCTATTTAATGCAACTCCAGTTAGATTCTTATCTGCATGAGTAATGCATACAGAATAGGCAAATCATTATTTTAATTGTAGCTGGTAAAGTCAATCTAAAACAAATCACTAAAAGGTGCTCTTCAACCAAAAATGTGTTTAAGAGGTTGCACCAAATTTACAAAATCAGGTCTTGTCTGTATTGAAACTTGACCAGTGTAATTTACTTTGTTTATTAAACTGGTGCAAACCATTTTGCAGACACTTTTATTTTGGTGTACGAATGGATTATCATTGTCTAGCTTCAATCTGTTCATAACTGACTTAAAAGAATATCCACACATTTTACACTGCTTTAATTCAACAGTGCAAATCATAATCAAATGTGAAGTTAAACTGGTAGATTGATGTGCATAAACAATCCCTAAAATGATATAGTTGATACAATTGATATAGTTACATTGATACAACTACCTGGTGTAGATAAAGCCTGAGAAAGAGGTATGTGTCTCTTTAAAACAGTTTATAACTGTGATGAGCTAGGTAGCAGCAGTCTCTGTGTTTCTATTGCTTGAAAGGTAGAATGACTAGCCTTTTGTAGCTTCCGTTCATCTGTCTGAGAGGGATGAAGACAGAGAATACAATTAAAATGAGCTTAAGGCAAAAGATATGGGGCAGAGATGATGGGGACATGCAGACGATGTTTGTATTAGGAAATAAATTATTGTCATGATGTGTTAACAGCCTCAGGTTTATTAATACATGTTAAAATTCTAGTACAGATAAAACAGTTGTAGTTTTAATGTGTTAGCAAAAAAGGGAGGGGGGGAAATAACATTGTCACTCTAGTCTATATAGCAATGGATGCTATGGTTCTAAGACTATTACTTTGGATGGGAAGTTTGCTAAAGCAGGCACCCTGCTTTCCTGCACATTTGCTCAGTACTTGTAACATTGTACATTCCACTTCAAAGTAAATATAATGTAAATTACATTGTAAAACCTGCAGTGATAAGTATGAGAAAGTTAAAGCCAGAATTTTCTTCTGCAATCTTTGTGTGTATGCATTATGAAATAGTCTTTAATTGCATGCTGGGTTTTTTCTGTAAAACTCCTACCTCATTCAGTGCACAGGATAGATGAGACTTGTGGAATTAATATTACTTTTTTATTCTCATTGTTCTATATAGGACCCCATGTCTGTCTTACCATATATCAGAGTTATCATGTATTACATAACTATTAATTTTCTTATGGACTTTTCTCTGGAGTTTCTCCCTAAAATATTTAAGTGCTTCACAAACATTAATGGTTTCAAAAACACTTCAAAATACTCTCTGAGACACTATGCTGTTGTTATCCTTGTTTTTAGAGGTGGGAATAGAGGTACAAAGAGAAAAGGGCTCAAACTGTCCAAACTGGCAATTTGGGGTGGCTGACCTGAGGCAGCTTGCATTTTCATAGCACTTCCAGTGTTCAAACCACAGTTGTAACTGATTTCTCTTACTGTTGTAAGTATTCAGTATTTATGAAAATCTGTCCTTAGAGTCTTTAGTTGGGCAACAAGGATAAGAAATTGAGGAATCCATAGTTAAATGACTAGCTAGGAAGGCATATTTTTAAGAAACTTCCTGACTATTATGTAACAGCTCTGCATGGGACATACAAGTGTAGAATCCCATTCTGCAGGGCAGCACTTGATTGCTTTAACCTTGAGACCTTCCTTTTTCTCCCTGCCATCCTCTGCCTCAGTAATTGGACACCTTCCAGCTTCCTACAAACAACATTGCCGTGTTCACTGCACAACCCTGATTTGTTTTCTGAGCACCATCTATCTGGCACGTTGAGTATGGGCAGGAGACAGAGGTCCTATAGAAAAAATGGACATGATTTAGTTAGTAAAGACTTGTTATACACAC